TGATTTAGTTCCGCCCAGAGGTTGTTCCAGGGTTCGAGCAACCTGTGAGCTAGCCGTGCCTTGTCTTTGATCAGTCCAGAAATTGTTTCAGGGTTCGATCTGTGAGTTAGCCGTGCCTTGATTTAGTTCCTCCCAGAGGATGTTCCAGAGTTCGAGCAACCTGCGAGTTAGCCGTGCCTTGACTTTGATCAGCACAGAGGTTGTTTCAGGGTATCGATAAAAGGGTGAAGAAATTATATTTTGGTCTAGTCAAGCCCTGTGTCAAAAGTGTTACCACGTAGCATTTCTTGTCTACAACATTTCCGCCAACTTTGAAATTATTTTTTGATGTTATCTTTTCCCCCTCTCGTTTGCCCACACATCATCGAGTGCGCGCATGATCTAAGAAAAGAGAATCCATCAGCAAAGACTGATAAACCTATGCGTTCAATATCTCCTTCAGACAATGATTATATTGCAAAAATATCTATCTGATCTCATTTAGAGACCATATATTGGTCTTCAAATCCTATAGGATATTAAAGCATTGTGTATATGTGAAATGTCGATTGAACGTGATGCGCAGATAACTATCTACAACTATGTCTAGCTTATATTCTTCAGTCTAGCAACAGTCTGAAAAGCTATACAGTCCTTTGACTAAACGTTGTCGTTTGATCGGCCTCATCCCTACTCGCCTAKACCGAACAGGATCATGGGGATAATTAATTCACAGTTACTAGCTGCCGCATATGTTATCTAACACGTCTTGAGCAAGTTGTACTGGACTGGAAATACTGTTGTTTTTTTTTTGCTCTTATCCCCAAAGTAACCTATTTCGAAGCTACTATAATCTGTAGCCGGCGATAACTTGTCTGAACAGCGCTCAAGCAGATAATCTTTTAGCGCCTGCACGTTGTCGATATTTGGGACATCCTTGATGGAATATGATGCGAAATGGCTCTTGTTTTCCTTGCGTAAAACGCGAAGACAAATGTGCATTTTGCTCTCCATTGTGCGATTGTCACCGACTGATAGAGAACAATTAATTATTCATGTTGATTTACCCGTTATTCCTTTCGGTCTAGGCGCGTAGGGATGATCCGATCAACGACAACGTTTAGTCAAAGAACTGTATAGCGTCTAGTCTCCTCGGCAGTCGTCATTAGTTTCGGTCCCAGATCCTCACGGGCCCGTGCGAACATTGAACCCCTGAACATTGGCCAATTTTGTCGCAAAGACCTTCACAGGCAGGATTTTCGCATTTTCATTCAAATATGTCATTCCTAAGACTTTCCTGTGTCTTCTATCCGGATTTCTTTGCAATTTTCATCCTTAATCCCATCCTCGCCCAAGTCTACCTACGGGCAATCGAATTCCTGCGTCCTGACTTGGTCAATCGTTTTGTTCAGTCGTTTCGGTCAGTTCGAATGTAGAATCAGATCATGATTAATCTATTAAAACTACTGCTTCGCAATATTTACAAGCATTGTTCATTTTCAATTTAATACCATTAAATTCTCAGCTGACTAGACGTTAACCTAAACGTTTTCGCACGATTTGAGGTTCAGAGCCCATGAAAATATTGAGCATTGAATATTTAGTGCATGGAACACACAACAATTGGCTCTGTGTAGCACAAGAATTTGGAGTTGGCGTGAAATGTGTTTCTTGTTGACTACTAAACCAAAATAACGGGGCCACAATAGCGGGGGTTTTAACAGTGAATGTGCCACCGACTACCGGGGAAAATGTCTGATTTTAACACCACTCAAATGTTAAATCCCCCGGTATTTCGCGGAAGTCGGGGGGTGGGGGTTTCAATTGATTAGTGCATAAACCATCTCCGCCCCAAAATGCCGCGAAATTATTTTCAAAAAATTAGAAAATTACTTTTGGTCATTTTAGAATTACATATGTAAAAAATGCTTTGGTTTCGACGAAGATGATATGAAATAATGTAAGTGATAGTTGTTTAGTGTTGTTAGCGTGTTTTACTGCATTTGTACTTACCTCACTATTACCTTATACTGACTGCCTTACGAAATGATTCATGCATATAAAAGCACTTTAGCTCTGCCCAGCAAAACACTATGAAAAACAAACTTCGGGCAAACTTCTCAGTCATAACACTTTTTAGAAACTTCTTACGAAGCGATTTATAGACTCTGATCTAAATGAATTTGGCCAAATTTATAGATTTCTTTTGACGTTATCTTGAAAGCTCTAATTGGCATAGCAAGTAAACGAGAGTATTTAAGTCGTCTACATATGTGGTCATCCCATAGAAATAGTCTGAAGGCCATCGGACCGCCTYATCGCCATAATTTGAACAAAAAAATGCAGAAGATTAAACACACTTTGATTATTTCATACAGTAAAATGGTCTAATGCGAAAATAATTTGACATGCGGCTTAGCGAATGAACGAAAGATAGTGAAGGAGGAAGGATTTCCCACTAATATATATTGGATAGATTTTAGGYGTGATAAAATATGTGATTGGCAGGTGTCTGGGCCCTGACACTGATTCTTTCAAAAAATCATAGCTTTGCCTTTTTCTTTCTTATTGGAAAACAAATCTCTTCGCTTAAGTATGTTTTCAGTTACTTATGTTTTGCTATAATCTCATTGTAATTCAATCAGTTATGGAATGAAAGGAACTGTGATTGAGCAGAAACAATTGAACATGGAAACTATAATCTTACACTGAACTGCACTATGCGAAATTTTAGTTGCCTTGGTGACAAAGTTGAACCACCGGAAGCCGAAGAACAAGCTAGTGCTCATGCTTAGTTTGGAATAAGGAGGCGGCTCTTCAGAATAAACCTTCTCAAAAGCGTCGTGTATGCGACAGGGGTGGATCCAGGGGGTGCAAAAGGGTGGTTCAGCCCCCCATCAGGAAGTTGGTTATGTTTTTTGAAGTAGAATAGAAGCATATTTTWAAATATTTTTTCCAAGTTAGTATGTAGTGTGTCATTCGCTCCCCATTATATTTTTGCTGGATCTATCAAAACCATAAGTATATCAGTCCCCTTCTTCGTTATATAACTTTTATCAACCGGACAAATAGAGTATTTTAAGACTCCTGATAAGACTAAGCTTATATTGGAGTTAAGGCACTAAAGTGAAAAATAGTGGTGATATCAATGTATAGGCTAGTCTTCATAGCATTACCGTAAACAAATTAGGCTCTATTTATAGATATTTAATAAGTAGCGGTCTAGTTTTCTAAGCTGAACACTCGTTGTTTMTTGATCCATCCGGTAACATAAAAAGATAAGAGTAAAGCTATTGGATTAAGGAACCAATACCAAAGCTTTTTGAGGAGATCTAAACGCGTGGATGAACGTCATTTATCTTGGGTAATTGCATTTTTTTAATTGTCTAATTACAGACATGGCTGTGAGCCTGTCTCCGTTGAGAGAATTAAAGATAAATGAAAAATGTGCGATTGCTCATAAACAGACGTCGTAATCACCTGATTAGCTAAGCTTGTACACAATAATTAGCCTCCTTGTTATCTTTACGTATTCATTAGAATACCTACCCCCCTCTTAGTAACCTCAAGGACTCTCTCAAGTATATAGATTGTGATTTTTTTTCCTGAAAGCAAAAAAATAAATGAATTTTTCAAAATAAATAGAAGATTTTGACTTGACGCAAAAATCGTGCATGTTTTTATTTTTCAAATCGGKTAATGACGATTCGTTGTCGAGTAAGATAAAAGTGTAAAGGGCTAAAGAAAACGAATCTTTTTAAAAACTAGTTTTAATTTCCATTTGGTCGAGTTCAGTAACTCAAATATTCTTTTAAAATCTGAGTATGCAGTAAAGACCAGACGGCATTACTTGGCGGCATGGCTACTGTTCATAGCCTTGGTCGAGTGTTACCACAATTATTTTAACATTTGATTAGCAAGCACTTTAACACTTTTTCATTGGTAAGAAAAAGTACAAAACTGAGCGTCAAAACAATGCAAGTGGCAAAAACAATACCCATAATCAGCGCGGTTGAAGATAAGAAAATKAAAAACCTGCTCTGATTTACATACCTTAGCCTCCTAGCTATATAACACCGAACTGTGTATTTATTTTTAACATGCAGTAAAGACCAGACCCCTTCATCTGTACAGGAGACAAGACATGAGGCAGAACACAGATGTATTGATAATGAGTGGAGTTACGAAATGCTCTCAACGTTTTATATAGAGGTAAGCTAATTATTTTTGTACTTTTTCCACCAATTKTTTACGTGTTAAAGTGCATGAATTGTTTCTGTGTTTTGATTTTCCCCTTAATATTCTACCCGGCTTAACTCACTTTAGATCCTAGACTTGTCGAGGTCTGTTCTTGGGCTCTATGTATTAATTTTTAAGCGAAGCGAGAGCACTACGTCTTGACGTCGCGGAGCTACTTAAGAGTCGGCAATGCAAACCACGGAAAAATAAAGTTTTAAAGGACTTTGAGAACGTCTATAGATATCATTTTATCATTCAATCCATTTTTTCAAGTACCTCAACTACAACTTACCACTATTATTAATAACATGGCGGAATTGAAAGTGCCCATRACGATGATTCCAACTGTTATTGTCCGTTTAATTTGCTACCGAAAAATAACTTTAGARGTTTTTTTTGTTATCGCTAAAGTTAGGTTTGTAAGCTAAAGGATCTAGGAAAAGTTATGTTGTTTTAGGAGGGGAAATTTGAAGGTGAATACATTTTCATGCGCGGCAGTGCGCCGATAGTTAAAAACAACTTGCAGCTGGAACGTAGCATTAGTATATACATATATATATTTTTTTCACCTATAACGGCTTAATTCGTTTCAAATAATTTGGTAAACAACAAAAGCAAATTTAAAGAAGACAATATGGAAGTGGGGACATGAATCACAGAACGCGAAAAGCAACGTAGAAGGGGTTGTTTTGCAGAGTGCATTGAGTAGCATGGATAAAATAAATGATTAAAAAGCAGTTGTGTGCAAGAACTTACCACCTTAACTTGAGCTTTGCTTTCTGGAAGCGGATGAAAGAGGATCACTTTTATACCCTGGATATATGAATGCCATAATGTTCTAAATCGGAAGACCATTTCCTCTCGGGTCTTGAATTAAACATGACATCGATGTGCGGTGCGTTCAAATTCCTTTAATAACAACGAGATGAATTAAGAATATAACTTAATTTTCGACTTTGCGTGGCTGRTTGATTACAGGCTTATAATTAATTAGCATTCAGCGAATGAACGAATAGATCAAAGGTGAATTCCGGCCATAAAGCCAGTGAAAAAAGGTTTTGAAGTGAAGAAAATCTTGTCTAATGAGAGAAGTTCGTGCTGCTAGCCTTGTGTACCATTTGGTCTATAAACCGTGGCGCAGGGGAAACAACTATATAGTTCGTTGGCCAAAAAAAAACAAAACAAAACAAAACAAAACAAAACGTCCTAATTTGTGGCCAGTTTATTATTTTTAATTTTAGGAAAGGGGCGCGCAATCATTTGTCGAGGCCAAGTGGAAAAATAGTTTTTAAATCTCTCTCTTAATCATCATTTTTTRTTTGCTTTGATTTCGCTTTTAATGCACTTTGGTAGACCCCATTTCCCTGCACGCGGTTCAGAGATCATTTATTCTCGCTCCGGCACTTGCTGTTGGTTTTTACCTTGAAACCGCGAGGAGATCTAGAAACGTGCCAAAGTGTACAGGGGTAATGCTTATCCGCTATTTCTATTCAGGGCGCCTTAATACAAATAGAATAAAATAAAAAAAGTATCTGTCTAATTATGCCCGATTGTTCCATTCGGGCATATTTTCGTCTGTGCCAAATATTCCCACTCCACAACCATATAAACTTAATTACATAAACGTATTATAAACTTCTCTTATCAAGACTAAAAAAAAAAAATGCACACGTTTCCTGGCTGTATAATATACGTGTTTTGAATGTCTTTTATTTATTTACTCCAATATGACAAAAACATCACTTGTTATAGTAAGAGCTGACTGGCGCCCGTAGCGTTCATGAAAGAAAATAAAAAACACTTGGAAACAATAACAAGTTATGAGTTCTACTTGAGGGTTTGATTGTCGGTGCCTGCATGCCCGGAAAAAATGGAAATCAGGCAGGCAGCACGATCTTAGTTTTGAGAAAGAAACCATGAAAGCGATGAACAAATGCTCTGTAGAATCAAGTAGACAAGTTCGACAAGTCCAATTGTGATGGAGAGGAAAAAACAAAGAAAGAAAGAAAGAAAAAGACAGACTGACAAACAGAGAGAGAGAGAGAGAGAGAGGGAGAGAGAGAGGAAGAGACAGAGAAGGTTTTCAATTGCGAATGGAGATGGATTCAATTTAAAAAGCTGTGTTCCGGTGTGGTGTATGGGAAATTAAAAGAGGTTGTTTGTCTACACCATATTCTTTTCTTGATATTGCTATGATTATGATTATTGACGAAATATATTGTCAGAAAGAAGACAAAAACCAAAACGATGTTAATCAAAACAATCCGAGAATATCCGAAACGAATCCATAACAAACAATAGAGAAACGTTAAACAACCAAACAAATAAATGAATGAATAAATAAAAACAAAAACAACAACAAAAAAACAAACAAACAAACAAACAAAAAAAACCACAACGAAATAACGAAAATAGCGCAGCCATTTAGAATATATGATAGAAGAAAGACGAATCACTAATTTTCAATATTTGATTTTATTATGTTGCTAACTTGTAAGTCATATTRTGAAACGTCTAGTTTTAGTGCACATGCGAACTGTAGTTTCCCATTACTAAAAACTTATGATCAACATGCTGAAAAAGATTTAAGGCRAACCTAGAATAAATTCCAAATGGCTATTGTACAATAACCATCAGCCATCGTGTTTGCTGTAGAGATTTCTTTGAAGGATATTGAGTTAAACCTCCAAACTGCCATTACGAGAAACAACACAACAGTTACATCCGTTTTGAGTGCCATTTCCGACGGCTACCATACCCTGATGCACAAATATGTACTTTAAAAAGTTGGAATATGACATGAAATATAGCGCACCAAGGGATACAGTTAGACGTCGTAACAGATTACAAACGGTGCCGAGATTCTTCACTAGCTAGCATTCATTTCCAATCACTTCTTTGTTATCAAAGTCATCAGGTTGGCTTGATGATTTTTTTATGGCCGTGGTGTTTAGACGAATAGCTGGATTAGTAGTTATGACTTTTTCCTAATAGTAAAGATCACGAGATTTCTGAAGTGTATATTTAGAACGTATTTCTCATTAGGGAGACAAATTCCTGTTGACAAGTTAAGACGCTCCTTGGGGACAAACGTTTGCAGTATTTAACAGGTTAGAATAAACTCTCTCTCTCTCTCTGTCTCTCTCTCTGTCTCTCTCTCTGTCTCTCTCTCTGTCTCTCTCTCTGTCTCTCTCTGTCTCTCTCCCCCTCTCTTTGCCTTAGAGCAAATGAAAATAACTTAATTATTCCCAAAACTGAATTTTCTAAAGGGTCCTTCTCATACAGAAGTGCAAAAGCCTTTTCAAAAAGCCTTTTCGTTGTTTTAATGAAATGGGAAGGTCAATGTAGTCCTATTGTTTTTGTAGTTCCTAAGGAGTAGTCTTATTCGACTGTTAAAGAAAAAATAGTCAAATTAATTTAATAATTAATTAACTCATTCGTTCATCCATTCACTCATTCATGGTTTTGATGGTTTTGACCACTTGATAACCTAATACAAGAAACGTGTATAGACTGTGAAGTGAGCATCGATCTTTCAAAGTTGGTGTTTATGTCATTTGKCATTGAGACGGAAGATCAATGAATGATGTTTGTGCGCTTCCTTTTAACCATGGATAGATATTATATATGAATAATCATTTCAAGTTTACTCCCTATTTGTTTTTCGTTAAGGAGTATAAAACGCGCGCGCATTTCCGTATACTGTGATATAAACACGCTGGGGGCTGTAGAGTAAGAGAGTAGAAGCATTGCTAGGAAAAGAAGGCGTTTCCAAGTGCTTATCCTTTTTTACGAGTGCCCTACGGCTCCCCTCCCGCAGTGTTTATATCACAATACAGAGACATAAGCAGTCGTTTTCAGTATATTAAAAAAAWTATTTTAAGCGATTAATTTGCACGAGCATGCCTCTTTCACCCGGCCATAGAGCGCGCGCGTTGTATCTCAACTATTATATAATGAAGTATACAGTCAATTCAAAAAATGYTGTCGTCGACCAACTCAAGCCTACGCGACTGGACCGAAAGGAACTCTGGGTAGTAATCATTGAAGCTGAGCTGACTCCATAATTTTATCTGACTAGTTATGCTTAAAGCACGAACCTTCGTAGACGAGCGGGAAGTGTTGAAGGAGACATTTTTTTAATGCCTTCATATTTTCGAAATTGTGAACTGAATCATAACTACTTTGTTTTCCCTTCCCTAAACCCGAAGACATGCATTTGATGGATWGTTTCTCGCCATTATTACCTTTACTACTAGCGGGAACAATTAATTCAGAACGAATGTTTAACCGCTTCAGTGATTTTTACCCATATYCCTTTCGGTCCAGTCGCGTACGCTTGAGCCGGTCGACGACAACGTTTTTTGAATTGACTGTATAGCTTTGAAGGCTATTTTATTTCCACTCAAAGCCTGGAAAACCGGGTTATCTGTACAAAGCTTAAAAAATYAAAGCTACATCCAAAGCTAATCTGATCCTAAGAAAATGAGTTTTAAAACCCAATATAGATTAATTGGATCAGTTCTCAAAAACGACGAATTTCTAATCAGAGGAGTCAAGAATAACGATGGCCAAAATCCAACGGTTTTAAGAGACAGGGACATCAGAAAACGCGCGCGCGTACTGTGTGCAAGTTACAAAGCACGCGGCGGTTGSCAGAACACGAGAGAAGTTTTTAGGAGAAGGCAGGCGCAAGCGAAGTGCACGTGCTTCTCGACAATTCTCGAGTGTTCCGCCAATCCCCAAGTGCTTTATAACTTCACACAGCACGGCACGGTACGGCACGGCAAGCAGGTTTTTTATTTCTTTAATAAAATACRATTACAATAATCGTTATTTTAGATAGAATGACGTAACTGAAAGTGCGCGCGCGTGCTGTGTGCTCGCATAAAGCACGCGCTACTAAACAATCACAACGCGAGAATTACTAAGGTGCTGACACACGRTGCAACATTGCACGCAACATTGCAAGCGACAAATTTGAATCGGGCAGACACCTATTGCAGCAAAATCACGCAACATCGCTTGTGTCAGCCTGCTATGTTAAAATATTTGGTCAGCAGTTATAAATTTGGTACCAGCTGATTGGCTGGAAATTTCAAAATGTTGCAGGTAATGTTGCAGCTATGTTCACATGATAAAATTTGTTGCGCGYAATGTTGCAAGAGTAGAGCGCGATTCAACTTCAGATTTTTTGCGTGCAACAAGTTTGGGGTAGACACACGCCGCAGCAGTCCTGTTGCATGCAATGTTGCTACGTGTGTCAGCACCTTTACAGTTATTTTATAAGAATTGATATCATTGACCCCTTAGATGAAACATCTTACAACAATTCGAAAAATACCGAAAATTGACATATACCGCCATGCTGGAGGACCACTTTTAAGAATCCAACATGGTGACACAAACTGTATTCATTGTTATAATGATTGTTGTTTGAAGGTACTAGAAATTCGTCARACTAGCCTGAAATGTCGTACCGAAAACTGGTAGAAAATATTAGGCTTGGTTCGTATTCCGCGCGAATTCCTCTTCCTTCTTTTCTTAATCAAGGGATGCTTTAGGATTTAGTATATGTGGTTCGCACGCAGGTTGGCACAGATATACRATCCTGGAAACTGTAGTGGCGTATAGTAATGAGCCAATTGCAAAAAACTGGGACCAATTTCACTTTTTTAAGACCAGCTAGTTTGATAGTAAAGGTCCTCGAGAAAGCAACCCCAATTTTAGAATGAACGTATAAATTTATTTTTCATTTACCAAGGATCAGAACGTTTGATAAAATTTTATATACAGGACAGTCTAGATCCTGTTTTTGCTGAAATTTTATCAATTTGATCATTAGCTAATCAGTTTACGTTAAATAGAAGCAAAGATGTCTGGGTTTACACAAGATGATAGCTATCATT